TTAGAAAAATGATTTAAAATATTATAACTTAGAGGGGGTATGAGAGAAGGTGCCTCCTACAGCTTGTTCTTTTATGGCCTGTGAGGGAGGGTATCCTGCAAATCTCCAGAGCCCTTTGGGAGGAGGGGCTGGAAGTAGAAGGAGAGCAGAGCTGCCTTAGAGAGCTGCAGCAGGATCTCATCACACCTGGGTCCTGCAGGCTCTGCCTGCATTCAAGGAACTCAGATGCTGGGACCTTGGCTGGGCCAAATATTCCTCTTCAAAGGCCAGCCACCGGCTGCAGGATGTTCCCATGTGACAGAGGTCAGTGACAGTGAGACAGGGGTGGCAAGTCTGTAGGTCAGAGGCACCTGTTTCTGTAATTCCCAGTTGTTTTTCTCCCACTAGGAAAGCAGATTGAGCAAGAATAAGGGAGACAAAAATCAAGAAGAAAAAGGAAAAGAATCTCCTTCCAATGAACTGGCCCAGAAACAAGATAGTAAAGTGGGGAAAGACTCTAAAAAGGAAGAAGGTGTTCAGAAAACAGACCTGAAAGGTAAAGCTGAGACTGAGACCAAGAGCAAAGAGAACAAAGCTATGAATGATAAAGTCAAGGCCATGGAGAAAAAGCTGATGGGGAAGGACAAGAAGGAGGAAGAGAAGGGTTCAGCGTTGAGGAAGGACACAGGGAAGAACAAAAAGGGGGAAGAGAAGAGCTCAGAGTTGAAGAAAGATGCAGGGGAGGATAAAAAGGAAGAAGAGAACAGCTCATCTTTTAAAAAGGAGGATGCAGGGAAGGATAAAAAGGAAAAAGAGAAGGTCTCAGTAGCAAAGGAAGAGACAGAGGAGGAAAAAAAGCAAGAAGAAAAGGATTCAGCATCAAAGGACACAGAGAAGGACAAAAAAGAGGAGAAGAGTTCAGAGTCAGAGAAACAGGAAGAAAAAGACACAAGAGGGGAAGGTAAGAAAGAAAATGATAAAAAAGAGGAGGAAAAGGCTTCAGCTGTGAAAAAATCTAGGGCAGATGAGAATGATAAATCCCAGACAGAAACAGAAAAGGCAGAGAAGATGGAGGAGAAACAGGAGGCCAAGGCAGCAGCCGGGAGCAGCCCTTCCAAGTCTTCCTCCAGCAGCTCTGCAGATCAAGCCAAGGACGATGAAGCCTCCAGCATCTTTGACGAGCTCATCGAGAAGGTGAAGAACAACGATGCTGAGGTGACCGAGGTCAACGTGAACAACTCTGACTGCATCAACAACGAGACCCTGGTGCGCTTCACCGAGGCCCTGGAGTTCAACACTGTGGTCAAGGTGTTTGCCCTGGCTAACACCCGTGCTGATGACCACGTGGCCTTTGCCATTGCCATAATGCTCAAGTCCAACAAGGTGCTGACAAGCATCAACTTGGACTCCAACCACATCACAGGCAAGGGTATCCTGGCCATTTTCCGGGCACTGTTGCAGAACAACACACTGACGGAGCTACGTTTCCACAACCAGCGGCACATCTGTGGGGGAAAAACAGAGATGGAGATTGCCAAACTCCTGAAAGAGAACACCACGCTCCTGAAGCTGGGCTACCACTTCGAGCTGGCTGGGCCACGTATGACTGTCACCAACCTGCTGAGCCGAAACATGGACAGGCAGAGGCAGAAACGCCTTCAGGAACAGAAACGGGCACAGGAACAGGGGGAGAAGAAAGACCTCCTGGAGGTGCCCAAGCCTGGAGCACTGCCGAAGGGGTCCCCCAAAGCATCCCCACAACCATCCCCCAAGGCTTCCCCCAAAAGCTCTCCCAAGAAAGGAGGGGCACCCACCATACCACCCCCACCTCCTCCTCCACTTGCCCCACCACTGACGATCAACGAGAACCTGAAGAACTCACTCTCACCAGCAACACAGAGGAAGTTAGGAGATCGGGCGCTGCCAGTCCAGGAGAAGAACTCTCGAGACCAACTCCTGGCAGCTATTCGCTCCAGCAACCTCAAACAGCTCAAGAAGGCAAGTGCAGGGCCAGGTGGGGCCCATGCACAAGGTGGGGCTGGGGGCTGAGGTCATAGCCACTGTCACTCTGGCAGTGTCCTTCTCAGGAGTGGGGTTGTGTCCAACTGCTGCACAGGGGCAGATCCATCCCTTTGCCAAGCACATAGGGAAGGAAGATCCATCCTTTAATACCATCCTGCAGAGCAGATGGGGTCAGCAGGTCCATCTCTCGGCAGAGAGCATGACAGGTGCAGATCTATCCCTTGGCTCCTGTGTTAGGCAGATCCACCAGGATCCAGGGCTGGGACACCAGGAAAAACCCATCCCTAAGTTATAACTCACTGGGCTCTTGATATCTTGTTGTTGTGGCTGAGCCCATGCCCCTGGGTAGAAGGTGGCCCAGGATGGCTGGAGAGGCTTCATCTGCATTTTAACAACTGAAACATTTGTTGATGTCAGCCCCAGTCTGGACTTGACTAATCCTTTTGAACTCTTTACATATAAAGAGTGACTGAATGTTGCTCTGAGGGTACTGACACAGCACTTGGGGACCAACAGAGAGGTGTGGCCTACTTCTCAAAACAGCTAAACTGTTAGCCAAGGGTGGCCTGGGTGCTTGAAAGCTGTGGCAGCAACTGCCCTCCTAATACAGGAGGCCCATAAATTCACCCTTGGGCAGCACATTGTCAAGTATGTACCCCATGCAGTAATAACTGCTGGAATAAAAGGGCCTAATGCTGGTCCCAGCATGGAGCCTTGAAACCTCTCACACACTCCAGGTGGTTTGTGTCCCTGCTGGGCTGTCCATGGGCTGGAGTGTGGGGACAGCCAGCCCAGCCAAGAGAATGAGGTCATTGAATGGTTTGGGTTGGAAGAGACCTTAGAGATCATCTCTTTCCTGTCATGGCCAGGGGACACCTTCCACTAGCCCAGGTTGCTCCAAACTCCATCCAGCCTGGCCTTGAACACTTTCAGGGATGGGTCAGCCCCAGCTTCTCTGGGCAATCTATGTGAGGACCTCCCCACCTTCACAGGGAGGAATTTCTCCCCAGTAGCCCATCTAACCCTGCCATGGATGTCCCTACACCATGTCAGTGGCATTCCTGCACCCCTTCCCATTGCTCGCCCAGTAATGGGGTGTGCTTCCCTGCAGGTGGAGTTGCCGAAGCTGCTGCAGTAGGGTGCGGGAGGATTTTTCCCCTGCAGCCCATGGCAGACCCCCAGACACTCACCTTTCTCGTGACAAGCCCTTTGGAACCTGCAGTGACCGACGCTAAGGAGCAGGGATCTCTCTGGGACACGGAGGATGGGCCGGGCCCAGCAGGACATGATGGAGGAGGTTGTATTTATTTTTTGATGGTTGTGAAGCCTTCAAGCTCACTCTTCTACCAGCACTGTGCCCCACCAGAGATGCCAAGAATAGACCAGGGGTCTGCAGAGCTGATCCTTATGGAAATCCCCCATCAGAGCACAACAAAGGGGTTTGGCACCCCACTCTATCCAGGGTCCAGCCTGGGGTGAGCAAGAGTACCCCCAGCCTTGGGGAGGAGCAGGGGACACCCAGGCCATCATCACATCACCACAAGGTTTCTGGGTGGCCAGCAGAGTTCTGGGATTCAGGCACAGCAGTGGCTGCAGAGTCGGGGGTTCAGGCTTGACGTCAAGAGGAATGGGAGGGTGGGAGAAGGGAGCAGCCAGGGAGAGAGGGGGCATGGAAGTGGTGGGACACAGGGAGCCAGGCTGGGGCCAGGAGCTTGGGGCATCTTGTACGCACCCACAACACTGCAGAGGGACCCCCAGAACCCTCAGAGCATGGAAACCAAATCTGCCCCAGAGAGAGTAGGGAAAGCACCAGCTCAAGCGGGCAGTGGGTTTTGGGGTCATATGATGCCCATCCTCCCCCACCCCCCATCCTTCCTGTCGTGACACCTTGATCACGATTTGTATGACTGCGGCCACTGCATCAGCAATAAAGCGCACCCAATGCTTCCCGTGCCTCTGGACAGGTCCACTCCCCCAGACCCCAAACTGAGGCGCAGGGGGTGTCTGGGAATGGACTCAGCAACCTCAGCCAGGGGCAACTCTTCCCCCTCCCACACCCATAGCCCACCCTGGGCACCCTGGGACAACCTGGACAACCCAGCCTGGGTGTCTCTGGTCACCCACCCAGAACCCCTGCAAATGGGGCACCCAGGACCCCCCAAATGGGACAGCAAAACCCCCCCCAAATGGGGCACCCTGCTGCTACTGGACACAGACAACCAGGCACCCAGAGCGATGCAGACTCCCCAAAACTCTGGAGTCATGAAGAATTGGACATCCCAGCACCACCCCACAATCATCTAAAACCCATTGAGTGCACTCAGAACTGGGAATCCTGGGGCTGCCTCAGGGTCACCCCGAATTCCAAGGTAATCTGGAGCTGGGTACCTCAGGGTCACACTAAAACTCCGAGGTGACCCCAAAACTGAGCACCCCAAACCCCCGGGGTCACCCAGAACGGCTCTCCCCCCTAACGCCACGGGGCCAGGGCCGTTTTGGGGATGCAGCAGCACACGGGCGTCCCCTGGGAGGCTCGCCCTGTTCCGGGACACCCACGTGCGTGGCTGCGAGGCGGCTCTCGGCACAGGTGAAACGCTGTTCTGGGGAGCATTTCTGCAGCCGCGCAGAGCCGTGACCGCAGCGGGAGGAGCAGTATCCGTACCACGGGGTCCTGATGCCCCTTGCCCCCGCACTCCTGCCCCTTGGGCGGCCCCTGCTAACGCGGGCAACGCGGGGCCATTGGGACATCCCACACCGAGCATCCGGCCGGCCCCGCGGTGAGAGCACCAGGGGCATCACCCGAACACCGACGGTGTCACCTAAAACCACGGGTGGCCGGGGCGGACCGGGGCACTACAGCTCCCGGGGCGGAGGGAGGGGGACCCGGCAGGGGGCGCCGTTAACGAAGCGGAGGCGCTGCTGTGCGCGGCGGGGCCGGCAGGGGGCGCCGTTAACGCACCGGGGCCGCCGTTAACGAACCGGGGGCGGAGCGGCGCGCGCCGGGGCCGGCAGGGGGCACGGTGCAGCCCCGGCCCCGTCCGGTCCGTCCCGGATCCGGTAGCGGCAGCGCCCGACGGGGGCTGTTGGGGGTGTCCGGCTCCGCTCCCCCCGCTCGGTACCGGGGAACCGGCGCAGGGCACACGGCGGCGGCGATGGACGGCGGGGCGGCGGCATGAGGCGGCGGAGGCGGCGGGGAGCATGGCGGCGGCGGGCGGCGGCGGGGCGCGGCGGGGGCTGCTGAAGCGGAAACCGAACTTCACGCTGCAGGAGCTGGAGGTGCTGATGAGCGAAGTGCTTCGGTACGAGCCGCTGCTGTTCGGCGCCGCCGCCGGTACCGTGAACGCGTACGAGAAGCAGAAGATCTGGTGGCGGATCACGCACAAGGTGAACGCCGCCGGCCGCCACCAGCGCGACATCGGCGAGGTGAAGAACCGCTGGCGGGGGCTACGCCGCCGCGCCGGGGACAAGATCAGCCGGCACCGGCTGGAGCGGCAGGGTCCGGCCGGGAGGGCCGCCGCCAGGAACGGGAACACCGGGAATAACGGGAGCAACGGGAACGGCGCGGCCGAGCCTGGCCCGGGGCCCGCCCCCGCCCCCGTCTGGGGTCCTCGCGGCGCCGCCGGATCCGACCCTCCGATGCGCAGCGCCGAGAGCTCGGCACAGCACGGTGAATGTGCGGGCAGCGGCAGGGGGACGGGGCGGGGACACGGGAGTGCTGGGGCTGGCACGGAAGAGTGGAGAGACGTACATGGAGGACCGGGACTCGGACGTGCGGAACCGGGACTAGGACAGGGGATGCTGGGACCAGGTTTCAGGGGGAGCGGCACACAGACCCTGGCACTGGGACCGGTACAGGTGTATGGTGGGACAGGGACATGAAGAACCAGGACACAGACATGGGAGACCGGGGCAGGGACTTGCTGGGTGACTGGGATGGGCATGGGGGATGAAATAGGGGCCGCGGATGAGGTGGAATGGGACATCGAGAAATGAGTTTAGGAAGTAGGGACAAGTAACAGGTACATGGGGACGCTGGGACCAGGACATACGCATGGAGGAATTTCTCCCCAGTACCCCATCTAACCCTGTCTCAAGAGAGACAAGGACCAGGAGCAGCACATGCGGGACCAGGACATGGACATGGGAAACCAGGACACAGACACAGGGCCACTGGGACTGGGAGAGGTTGGGAGGAACAGGGACACAAGGGGACCAGGAAGTGAGGGGATCAGGATACAGGAGACCACAGTAGTGGCATGGAGATACTGTGACCAAGATGTGGGGGTCCAGGACACAGACTGGGACTTGGATGCAAGAGAACTGAGACTGAAGCAGGTCACTGGGACCAGGACAGGTGCATGCAGGGACACAGGAGACCAGGACCAGGGTGTGCAGGACCAGGAAAGGGACACAGCCAGACCAGAACACAGGGGCAGGTGCATAGAGATGGGGATGGGGACTCAGGGGACCTGGATCAGTACCTGGAGAACCAGGATACAGGGCATCAGTACAGGGACATGAGGAACTGGGACAGGGACACAGAGACACTTGGACCAGTACAGGGACATGGAGTAACCAGGACACAGGGGACCAAGACAGAAACATGGTTCTGGGACAGGGACACAGAAGACCAGAACCAAGAGCAGGGGATGAGGAGCAAGAAACTGGGAGCAGGACAGGTGTGTAGAGAGACCAGGACAGGAACACAGGAGATTAAGGCCAGGACAGGGACACTGGGACCATGCCATGGGGGACAGGGACATGGATACAGGGCACAATGGCAGGGACATGGAGGACTGGGACAGGGACATGAGGGATATGACAGCATCCTAAGACATCACTGGGCCTGGGGAGATACATGGAAGGACTGGGACACAGATCCAGGCAAACAGGGCAGGCATGTGAGGACTGGGACCAAGACGTGGGAAAAACCAGGACCAAGACACTGGGACCACTACAGGTGCATGGAGGGACTGGGGCAGGAACAGTGGGGCAGGGACACAGAGGGAACATAGAGTCAGGGCAAAGGGGTATGAACATGGAATATTGGGACAGGTGACAGGGATGTGGGAAGACCAGGACAGGGACATTGGAGACAGGGAGAATAACAGGGATACCTATTCCAGGACAGAAGGGTACCAGGATCAGGACAAGGATATGGGTGACTGGGATTAGGACAGGGACAAAAGGCACAGGGTACTGGGACCTGGACAGGGATAAGAAGGGGTTGGGAAGCAGGCAAAGATGTGGTGGGACTGGGTCAGTGACATGGGGCAGGACCAAGACAGAGACAAGGAACATGCCAGTACTGGGACCAGAACAGGGACATGGGGGTTAGTGGGGTGAGAACTGGGACATGCTGGTACCAGGACCAAACAGGGACATAGAGGCACCACATTCAGCACAGGGATGTGTGTGCACTAGGACAGGGATGTGGGGGTACCAGAACCATACAGGCACATGGGGACACCACATTCAGGATAGGGGTATGGGAGTACTGGGAACAGGAGAGGGACAGGGGATGGGGTTGAACCAGCATGAGGGACACAGGACTATGGAGATAGGTATAGATGGAACCAGGACTGGGTGCAGGAGAGGGGATGTGGGAGCACAGGGATGGAGACAACAGGGTGTTTCACTTGGTCCGTGGGGCACTGGGGACACGAGAGATCCCTGCAGCTGTCCTGTGCTCCCCTCCGTCCCACAGGTGTCAAGGAGGAGCCGGTGAAGGAGGAGCCTGTGGAGGTGAAGACTGAGCCCTTCCACGGCCCTGCTGCCGACGGCATTCCCGGCCGCGGCTCAGACTGTCGGCTGCCCCGCACCGGCATCTGCCCGCCCAACGAGCTGTGCGAGGGCTGGAGCCGGAGCCCCCCGCGCTCCGCACCCTCCGAACTCTCCCTCGGCGACCTAGGCGGGCAGCAGGAGCCGCTGGGCTCCGACTTCCCGAGCCTGCTATTGGAGCAGGAGGCCGAGCAGCTCAGTCACTGCGGCGCGGGAGAGGGGGGGCCCCCCGGGGCGGCGGGGCTGGACGGGACCCCCGAGTGCCCCCAGCTCAGCCTCGTGCAGTCCAATGAGCGGCTGGTGCAGGAGATGCGGGCGTTCCGCCGGGAATACGCCGAGAGCCGTCGGGAGACCACGGCGGTGCTGCGCGGCATCGCCCAGGCGCTGGGCGTGCTCAGTCGGAGCCTGGCCGAAATCCGTGACCTCTACCTCCGGGAGCGGGGGGTCCCCAAATCCTGAGCCTCCCACGCAGCTGGCTGTGTACACACACCCCTACCCCTCCCCCCAGAACCAACGTCGCTGCTTTTATTATTATTTTTATTATTATTTCTTTTCCTGTCCATCCCACCTCAATAAAACTCGGAGCTGCACCCCCACGGCTCCCCGCACTCCAGGTACCTCAGACGGTTTTTGGGGATGATGCAGGGGGCTGGGAGATGGGATAGGGGTTTGTTCTTCCAGGCAGCTCTGCCTGGCTTTTCTCCTGGACTGATGGACTCTGGTCCCAAATTTAGCCAGCAGTGCTGGCAGGCATGAATCCCACCAGGAACAATTATTGGGGTGACACACCACCCACCCTCCCCTGCTTATTCCTGTCCAGGGGAGGGGGCATGGATAGAGGAATTGTTCATGTGCCCACAGTCCCAATCCTGGGAGAGAATTTACTGTTTTCTCACCCAAAAGATTCCAGGGGTGGTTTCATGCCCCTGTTTTGAGTGAGGGGGGCTGGGTGGGCAGCAGCACTCCAGGCTGGCTCATCCAAGCGGCTGATTTAGTGGGAATTACCCGTCCCAACACAATTTTGGGATGGAGAAGTCTCGGGAGCAGAAGGGACAGAGGAATTTCATGTTCCCCCATATTACAGTTCATGGGAAGGGGTTGGGGGCATTGCCCTTTCTTTTTCCCCATTAGAGCCACCGAGATGACACCAGGCTGTGGGCACAAGACGTGGTTTAATGCCAACCCCAGAGGGAAGAGCCGGCGTTGAATCCGGGGTAGGTGTGCAGGGAGACAGCAGTGCACGGCCCTCGGAGGACCCCCCCGGGAACCCCTCCGCGGGTGCTTGGGGCCACTGGCACCCAGAGCTGGGGGAGTAGGCGCCCACAAAGGGCCCAGTGTGCGGCACAAGGGGCCACCCTGTTCTGCTGGCACCAGATCACACTAGGATGGCTGGGAAGAGCCCTGCCCAGCGCCAGCTAAGGCAGCCCCCCAGCGCCAGGGGGGGTCCCCAGCCTGGCCCCGCTGGCCGGCGGCGGGTGTGGGGGCCCCCGCGGGGACTTACGCTCCAGGGTAGCTGGGCTGTGCCGGGACGTAGGGTGGTGGTGCTGTGGGGGGAGCAGATGGGGTGTCACCAGGCCACCAGGCCCCCCGAGGAATAGGGAGGGTCCCCATTCCCCCCCGGTGCTCACCTGTGGGGTTGTAGACAGGGGGGCCGGAGGGGTACATGGGGTACTGGGCGGCAGGGCCGGGTGGGGGGTACATGGCCATGGGGGTGAAGCCAGGCTGGGGAGGTGTAGGGCCAGCTTTGGGGTCCATGGGGAAGGGAGCTGGGGGAGCTGCGGAGTGGTAGCTGGACAGGGGAATTTCCGGGCCTGCAGGAGAGATTGGGGAGGTCTGCGGCACGCCAACACAGGGACAGGGATGGTGCCTAAGGGTGGCGGTGGCCCTCAGGTTTGTTGCCACTGGGGTGTTATCCACACCCCCACCGCAGTGCCCAATTTTCCCCCCCCATCCCTTCAGGTCCCACCAACCAGACCTCCCTGCACTCCACACTGGCCTCAGGGCCTCTCCTTCTCCCCCATCCCTCTACCCTTCCCCTCCTCCTACACCTTCATCCCTGCAGTCCACTCCCCCACGCTCCCAATCCCCCCCTTCATTCCAACAGCTCCCTTTCTCTTTGCCCCCCCCACCACCATGAGAGGGACTCTTTTGCTCCCTCTCATCTCTCATCCGTTCAGCTTCCACCTTTTACCCCAACACCCCTGCACATCTCTAGCCCCACCCCCAGACCCCTTCACCTTGTACCTACTGGATCCTGCAAACCCCCATCCCGGCAACTTCCCCCTTTCCATCCCCAGGCCTCCCTGCATTCCTTGAGGCCCTCTTAAAATCCCACCACCGTGTACCTCTGGAATCCTCCTGTAGCTCCCCCATCCCTGCTGCCCAACCCCCACACTCCGATCCCCCCCTACATTCCTCCAGGCCCCCCCTCCTTGCCTCTTCCCAAACCCCTCCACTCTCTACCTACAGGACCCTCCTGCACCTCCCACCCCTATAGTCCACACACACACCCCCCAATTCCCACAGGCCGACTGTCCAGGCTCCCCAATCCCCCCCCCCCACTGGGGTACTTTGAGCACCGTCATGCACCAAGCCTCCTCCTGCACCCCCCCATCCATGCATCCCCCATTCCTGCATCCTCCCATTCCCCCAGGTCCTCTTAACCCTGCACCTCCTTACCTGCAGGACCCTCTTGATCCTCTCCTCCTGCACACCCTGCATCCCCCATCCCTACAGCCCCCCACCAGACACCCCTTCCCCCTGAAATCCTCTGGGCCCCCTCAACCCCACTCCACCTTCTTTTCCTACAGGACCCTCCTCCACCTCGTCCTCCTGCACCCCCATCCCTGCCCCCCAGCCCCGCACCTTGCAGGGGGGTGCGGGAGTGCTGCCGGCGCTGGTACAAGTAGCAGCAGGAGCACATGAAGCAGCAGACGATGGTGGTGACGATGGCGATGAAAAGCACCACGGCTGAGGCGATGCCCGCGATGGTCTTGGGGCTGTGGGACCCCCGTGCGTGGGGAGCAGGGTCTGGGGGGCACCCGGGGCACACACCCCCAGCCAGCACCCACTGGTACTGCCCACTGCCCTGTGCCCAGCACCCAGTGACACTGCCCAGTGACATTGTCCAGCACTGCTATCAGCACCCAGTAGCATTGCCCACCCATTAGCAGTGCCCAGTGCCAATGCACTGTACCAGTGCTCACTGCCCAGTGACCAGCACCCAGTAGCAGTAGCCAGTGCCCAGCACCCAGTGTAAGTTTCCAGTACCAGCATCCAGAACCCAGTGCCAACACCCAGTACCAGTGACCAATCCACAGCATCCATCCCCCAGTGTGCAGTGCCCAGTACCAGTGTCCAGCACCCAGAACCCAACACCAGCACCCAGTACCAATGCCAAGGGCCTGGCACCCCGTACCAGTACAAAGAGCACAGTACCTAGTAGGAGTGCCCAGCACCTACTGCAAAGCACCAACGCCCAGTACCACTGCCCAGAGACCAACAACCCAGTACCAGTATCCAGCACCCAGTACCAGTGCCCAGTACCCAGCACTCAATGCCCAGCACCCAGTGTTAGCGCCCAGCACCCAGAGCCAACAGCCTGGCAACCCAGTAGCACTGCCCAGTGCCCAGCAGCACTCCCCAGTGCTCAGAACCAGTGCACAGCACCTGCATTCAACATCCAGTACCAGTGCCCAGTACCCAATGCCAGTGTCCAGCACCAGTGCCCAGTGCAGAGCACACAATGACCAACACCCAGTACAACTGCCTATCACCAGCACCCAGTCCCAGCACCCAGCCCGCCCAGGAGAGCCCCCAGCCCTGTGGCACCTGAAGGCAAGGCAGTGGCGCTGCTGGCGCTCGGTGAGCAGGCGCAGAGGGTCTCGGCAGCAGTACCGCTGATGGCATGTGCCGCAGCAGAAGGTGAAGAACTCACAGTCGAAGCCAGGGTGCCATGACCCGTTTCTGTCCACGTACCACAGGCAGTCTTCGCCCCCGGCCACTGTGGACAGCCACCCACCACTGGGGCCTTGGAGCACCTGGCCACCACCACCCTCAGGGGCATCAGCAGCACCCCATGCCCTTCCTCCCCCACATGAACACAGCCTGTGTCCTATTCCCCTTGTACCCTGGTCCATCCTGCCCCATGCACCCCCAAAGTGTGCCCCTATACACCCCCAAATACCCTGCTCCTTCCTGTCCCCCGTCTCTCATACCCAGCCCGACATCCCCTATACCCTGCTCTGTCCTGCCCCATGGACCCAGACTGTGCCCCTATGTACCCCCAAACCCCTGCTCTGCTCCATCCAGCCCCATATCCCTTAAAAGCCAGCTCCAATCTGCCCCTGTGTACCCCCATATCCTGCTCCATCCCACTCCACTTCTTCCAAACCCTGCCCCTATGTACCCCCATACCCTGTTCCATCCAGCCCTACACCCTTGCAGATGCCCCTCCATCCCACCCAGCCCTCCGACCCCTCCAGATTCCTCCAGATGTCCCCAGCTTCCCCTCCTTCCCTGTGTTCCAGCGGCACTTCCCACTCTATTTCTGTCCGAAGCCACCTGTCTTCCCAGAAATAGCCGCCGGTCGAGGCCCGGGGATGGCTGGAGGCGTTGGGGCAGTGGGCGGGCAGCCACAAAAATGGGCTTTGCGGGAATCTCACATGGCATTATTCACACACCCCAAAATGGGATGACGGCAGTTCAGGGACAAGTGGGGAAACTGAGGCACGGGGTTCGTACATGGGAAGCCCCCAAATTCCTCGGGGCTGGGCATCCCGGCTCGGTTAGCCACCGGCTCCCTGCCTGCTGTTCCCGGGGTCACCCCGAAAGCGGCAAATGGGAGGCGGGTTTGGGGGGAGTTGACACAGTGCCCGGGGGGACACTTTGTTGCAAGCAACCCCCGGTCAAAGGGGCTGTGTGTGGCACCACTCACAGTCACGGCTGGTGGCACTAAGTCCCTCCCACCCAGCGGGATCCCTGTGTCACAGATGGTGGCACGGTGTCCAGTCGCAGGGTGGCACCGGTTCCACCGGCCCTCCCCGGTCCCCGTATATCTCTTACCCATCGAGGCGGCCACGGCCACCAGCAGGGTCCCAGCCAGGGGCCAGCCGCTCCCGGGGCCGCCGGGCCCCATCCCGGGGCCGGACCCGGTGTCCCCGCTCAGAGCTGCCCGGGACAAGGGCGGCGGCTGCGCGGCGGCACCGGGACCGGGTCCGCTCCCGTGGCCGGTCCTGGTGCCGCCCGGTGCCGGTGCCGCGGGGCCGCTCCCTCTGTCGGTGTCTCCCGGTGCCGTCCGGTGCCGGTGCGGGGCCGGCGCAGGCCCGCAGTGACGCCGCAGCCCGGCGGCGCTCGGTTGCTGCCTGGTGACCCCCCCTCTCCCGTCCCCCCGGCGCCGCCTCCCGCCGCAGCCACCGGCCCCCGCCCGCCCCCACCGGGAGGAGCGGCGCCGCCGGCACTGGCAGGGCCGGGCGGGGATGCGGGGACCGGAGTGTCTTCCCTGGCACTGGCTCCACACCACTGCATCCCCCGGCAACTCTTATTTCTCCTCTTCTTGCACCCCATCCCTTCGCTCGTCCTTGCACCACTC